TGTCTTCTGTTTTTCCCGGCGGTTTGCTCTGACCCAAGTCGGCGCCGGATTAAAATCCAGTGGGTTATTACGATCTGGCTGGGATGGTCTTATCGCTGGTGAAATCGGTCTGATTTGAACATAATACACCTCATTTCCTTCTGCTAGTTTGAGTAATTCGGGTAAGAAACCGACCAAGTTCTTCCTGACTTTCAGTTTGGCTTCAAAGAGATATTTCAGCTTCTCCGTGTTCCAACTCACCTCCAGCAGACCCCCGCAGGCGTCACCAATTCGTTCAAGGTACTTTTTGGACCACCAATGAATCGGAAGCCCAGTGACAGCAATCCATCCCCCATAACTTACCACTTTTGTTATGTTATTCTTCAAACTTTGCTCCCAGCACCATAATAACACCTCTGGTTGTCCATCTATCTTCAACTTACTTGCTCTCCCTACCCTTGTTGCCTCCTCCTTACTGTTGCAAGCGAAAAAAGCTCTGTTATTTTGGTATGGAAATAGCTCTACTCTGAAATGGAGCCAGCTTCCCAAGGCTTTTTCAATGTCCTTCCAAGTCTGGTGTACTACTTGTCTTTCACAGGCTACCACCCAACTCCAGTTTTGCATTTCTCTTCCCGTGGCTGATTGGGACAAGTTGTGTTGTTCCACTATAGTATCTGCCTTCTCCTTTTCCGCTTTTGTTTGCACCGCCTCCTTGTATGACTTAGTTGTGGTAATAGTTCTAGCAGCCGGCTCATTCTGGTTCTCTCTCCTAAACTCAGGTCCACTCTTTAAGGCGGTTTCGCCGAATAAGACTATCTCTAAGCTTTCCTCCAGTTTTCTCCACCCCATCCCTCTTGTACCCTGTGGACATACAACGGACGATACAACTCCATGCAGACATTTCGACAACCTCAGAAAGTGTCCGTTCTTATTGCTTGATTTCTCCATCCACAGTTGATAGGAGTCTCCTCTAAATTTTCGAAAGAAGCTCTGTTCCCCCCTACCCACAACATCTTGTATCTGATTTAAAATCCACCGGGCACATCCCAGTTCGACGGATATGTGGAAAACTTTCTCTTTGAGTCTCTCACTAATCAAAATAGACCCCCCGAAAGATAAATCATCAATCTGAATACAAAAAGTTTTAGCTTCAATCCTAAAAACTCTAGGGATGTGTCTCACACTCCTCACTACCCGGTCTCTCCCCCTATGCATGATAGGAACTAGTCCTTTTCAAAGCTAGGTTCTAGGTTTCAAGTTTTACCTAGCTATAGTCATAAGTAAGTTGGGAGCAGTACCCAATTAATGAATATTATGTAAATCCCCCTTCATCAATCGCTTGTACTAAAAGAAAAAAATAATTTAAATAATCCTAGAGACATCCAAATGAGAATAATTTGAGAATCGCCGATAATTATTCCAACTTTTAAAATTCCCATTGATGTGATAACATTTCATTTTATAATCAACTAGCCTCTTTGCACGGGCTTCCGCGCCTGCGAGAGGCTTTTTTTTTAAAATTTTAAATTTATTTTAGAATTAAAAAAGATAATGGGTAGTTGTGTTCCATAAAAAGAGGATTCATTATCTGATTTTTCTTTTAATTTTAAATTTTTTTAATATGAAAACATGTGAATTTACCATATTATCCTCATTTAATTAATAATTTCAATTCTTAATGTTTGCATTAACCAAGGACATTTTCTGGTATTTTGAATGTTTCACCATTCTCTGCCTTTTGTTTTATATATATAGATAAAGCAAGTGTTATATTATGTGTCACCTCATTTGTTAATTAACTTGAGGTAATAATTGGTATATTTTGTTAAAAAAGGCAAACATTTTTTGTTATACAAGAGATCTTGGGGGATGTGTGAATCGAACCTAAGAACCGGGATACAAGGATAAATGCTCTTAACCACTGGAGCTATAGATATTATTATTTATTTATTTTTTGGTAAAAGAATGAGGGGCAGCGCCCCTAACAAAGAGAACTACAAACAAACTAAGCGGGGTTGGGCAACCCCTACAATATCATCCACTAGGATTGTAGCAGCCCAAGGAGGCACGGTATCAAATACGCATAATCCCATATCAATATTATAGCTCCAAGTGGCCAGGCAGTCCGCTAAGCGATTCTTCTCTCTGTAAATATGATTGACATCACAGATATTCAACATATTCATGAGGTTTCTGCAGCTCGCAATTAATCCAGCAAGAGGATGTAGCTCATCAACAGCAGCCTTATTGATTAAGTGGACGGCAATGGCAGAGTCCATCTCAACAATCAAAGGGGAAAGCCTTTTATCAACAGCCAGCTTCAAACCAAAGACCCCACATTTCAGCTTCCAAAATCTGACCCTTGCCCAAGTTCACAGCGAGGCCACCCTTCCAATCTCCCATAGAGTCCCGAATGACCCCTCCCGCACCAGCAGCTCCAGACAGAGATTTCCTAGAGCCATCAATGTTCAGTTTAAAGAGGCCATTTGCAGGCAGCTCCCAAACAAGCGAAATCAACACTTTGGGTTTTTTTCCACTCGGTACAATGGAAGAATCAACCCAGTCATTAATTGCGTGGAGAATTATTTTTTGCGGATAAGGAGGCAACTCCGTCTTATCAGTAAATATATAATGGTTCCTCCATTTCCAGATAAACCAGCATGTGAACAAGAACACAGAGGACCAAGGCAGACCAGCTCCCCAAGTAGCCTTAGAGCACAAATTCCCCATAAGCCAGATTTGCAAACTAGTAGTAAATAGGTTAGAGAGTTGCCTAGGAGTGCAGACAGCATCCCAGACCTTTATGGCATTAGGACACTCTCTGAAGAGATGGAGGACAGATTCAGAGTGCCAACCACAGAGGCTGCAAGAAGGGTCTGTGGTTAAATTTCTTTTAGTTCTCTGTTCGTTTGTCAAGACTTTGTCTTGGTACGCCAACCAGAAGAAGACTTTCAGTTTAGGAGGAACTTTAATTTTCCAAAGCACATCCCAGAAGGGATCAGATCGACCATCGTCTCTGAACAACAAATCATAAGCAGATTTGACTGTGAACACACCATTAGCGGTAGAGTCCCATATATGAGCGTCCCTCAAGTTAGTACCAAAACCAATAGGGTAACTAACAATCTTCTGGACCAAATCCTCACTGAGCATAGTTCTCAACTTATCAACATCCCACCAGTCGTCTTTCATGAACTCAGAAACTGTACAATTAAGTTGGGCAGGCCTTACGATACCATCATGCTGGATGAGAGGGATGTCAGAGATCCACCTATCATTCTAGAATTGAACACAGTCCCCTTTACCTAACCTCCAAATCATACCTTGCCTGAGTAACTCAGCTCCATGTAAAACACCTCTCCAAGTGGAGGAGCAGACCTTTTTCCCTTGGAGAGTGTTCTCTAAGATAGAATGGCCCTTCAGATATTTCTCTTCAAATATTTTTGCCCACAGTCCCGGGTCCCCTCGATGGAGTCTCCACCCCATTTTAGCCAATAGAGCTTAGTTCATATCTGAAGTTTTTTTGAAGCCCAGGCCCCCTTTGTTCTTGGGGCGGCAAGCTAAGTTCCATTGGCATAAGTGAGTCTTTTGTTTTGTCACACTTCCCCCCCAGAAAAAGTTACGATTTAGGCGGTCCAAGCTATCACAAGTGCTTGCAGGGAGTTTGACAGTTTGCATAGCATAGACAGGGATTGAGGCCGTAACTGCCTTAATCAAAGTAGCCCTCCCAGCTAGAGATAATAACTTGCTTTTCCATCCTGCTAACCGTTTATTAACTCTATCGATCAGGCTATGAGAAGTAGTTCTATTTATTCTGGAGTGCAGCAGAGGCATGCCCAAGTATCTGCCTAAATTTGAAGTGAGAGGAGATCCACAAATATAGCTGATTTCTCTAGCCACAACACTGCAAGTGTTAGGAGAGCAATAGATCATGGATTTCTCAAAATTAACTGTCTGACCTGAGGCTTTGCAGAAAGTATCTAAGCAGTGTTTCATAACCCGAGCTTGCTTAGGGGTAGCTTCAGCGAAAAGAATTAGATCATCTGCAAAAAAAACAGGTGGGAAATAGCGGGGCCAGACTGCGAAGGTTTCACAGGATTCCATCTTTTACTATTCACAGCATCCATCACAATATGAGCTAATTTTTCAATACAAAGCACAAACAAATAGGGTGATAGTGGATCACCTTGCCTAATCCCGCACTTGGGGGTAAAGGCCTCAGTAAGCTCCCCATTAATGCAAATTCTATAGTTTACAGTAGAAACACAATCCATAATCAATTTGATAAGTTGCGGGGGTAAAGACAATTCATTCAGGACATACTCAATGAAGCTCCAATTCAATCTGTCATAAGCCTTTGACAAGTCAATTTTCCAAGCACAGAAACCTTTTTTTTCCTTTAGAAACATGAAATTTGTGCATAATTTCTTGCGCAATAACAATGTTATCAGAAATTTGCCTACCCGGCACAAAGCTGACTTGATGAGGGCTTATCAGATCCACCATGAGCGGACGCAGCCGAGCTACAATTATTTTGGAGATGACTTTATAGAGAGTACAGCACAAGCTAATAGGCCTGAAGTGGGTCATATTTTGCGGGCTGTCAATTTTGGGGACCAAGGTAATGAGGGTCTCATTCAGATTCGTAGGCACAACCCCTTCATTGAAGACATTGCAGACCAAGTCACCAATGTCATTGGCACAAAATGACCAATTATTTTGATAAAACCCAGCTGGGAAACAATCCACTCCTGGAGCTTTGAGATTGCCAATATTAAAAAGGCTATCTTTAATCTCATATAAATCAACTGGCTTCACCAAATTAGAAAGATCAGCACATGCCAAACCTGGGAACATATTAGGTATGGCCATGTGAGTAGGAACTAAGTGGCCCTGGGAAAATAAGTTGGAAAAATAGTTGACAGCAAGGTTTTTCAAGCCATTAGCCTCCTCCACCCAACTACCATCATCAGCTTTCAGTCTCTCAATCTTATTTCTCCTTCTCCTTATTATAGTTGTCATATGGAAATTTTTTGTATTTCTATCCCCCTCTTGTAGCCATTGAAGCCGCGATTTTTGTTGCCAAAATAATGCCTCCTGGTCAAGTAACGCATTATAATCCTACACCAAAGAATCCTCCAGCATAAACAGAGACGTGCTTTGGCAATGGCACAAGGCTTTTTGGATACCATCCAATCTAGCAAGAATAAGCGTTTTCTTACGTTTCAAATGGCCAAAAATATTGTGGTTCCACTGTTTCAGATGTGGAATTAGCCCATAGGACTTGTCAAGAGCAGATCCCGGAATCTGTCCCCATTTCTGCGTCACAAAGTCTTTGAAGTTTCCATGCTGCATCCACATCGCTTCAAATCTAAAGGGTCTAGCAATTGGAGAGGAGATCTGGCGGGACTGTAAGCAAATTTTGATGGGGCAATGATCGGATTTGGTTCTCGGAATATGCAACACATTCGCATCAGGAAACATTTGCATCCAATTTAGGTTGCAAACAGCTCTGTCAAGTCTTTCAAAAACCCTATTATTGGTCCAAGTAAATTTAGGACCAGAGTAACCCAAGTCAATCATATCATTTTCTGTAAACCACTTGTTGAAGCCTTTCAGCCTGCACGGGTTGGCACCCCCAAGTTTGTCTTCCATAAATAACATCTCATTGAAGTCACCTGCAAGAATCCAAGGTAGTTGATGGCAACTAGCCACAAAGTTGAGGTAATCCCAAAGCATAGCCCTTTTGCTTGCACAGGGTTTAGCATAGATGGTAGTCAGAATCCAAGGAGCTTGACCATGCCAGGAGACACATGAAGTAATAGCTTGGTCAGTAGTGCCCAAAATCTGGATGTTAATCTTGTTATCATTCCAAAGCAACCACAAACCTCCAGAGAAGCCCACGGGATCCACAATTTCATAAGAAGAGAAACCAAGAGATTTGGCCATGTCAAGAGCTTTCTTTCCACTAATCCTAGGTTCGCAAATAAACAACAGATCCAGGTGATGTGTGCGAATCAACTCCACAACATTATTTCGAAAACTAGTGCAAGCAGCACCTCTAACATTCCAGCAGACTAAATCCATAAAACACTAGCAGAAGTATACGTATCCCATGGGCTACACCCGATTTATAGGCCAAGAGGCATACCTTCAATAATGAAGGGATTATTCTCAATCTTCTCATCAAGTGAAGGTTCATTTTGTCCCTCAGACATCTCCATATGTTCTTGCTGTATCTCACCTTCATGTGCATCATCAAACTCTGTGTCACAGTCTTCATCATGTTCAATATTACTCGCACCAATATTAGGTGGTTGGTGTCCAAAGATATAAGTGCCTTTGTCATTATATTCTTTATTTCCCTGTATCCAGCTGTTTAGTTGCTCTTGGACTGAAATCTGTTGCACTATCCTTTTGCCACCAATAATCATTTTACCCCTATTGACCAAGGTTCCAGGGTTCATTCTTGCAGGCCCATCAGTGTTCTTGGAATTCGTTTTTCTAGTGGCATTTTCTTCCACCATTGCATTAGAAATGTCATTCAAAGCTGTCCGACTACCAACGAAATTGGTGGTAGATTTTGTCCAAACTTTCTGTCCTATATCCGCATCCCTCCTGGATGAGCCAGCTTGAGTTTTGCCCGTATGTGCCTTATGACCATTAGCCAAGCTTTCTCCCATATCAGGGGTTTCTCCCACTTGTCGTAAGACATCAAAACGAGATCCATTATTCTTGCCTGCAGGTACCTTGTTACCCTTATCATTTGCCATATGCTTGGATTTTCTGCGAGGTGTCACAATCATCCAAGGCCCTCTCAGACCATCCATACAAGCATCAGTACTGTCTTTTTCCTTGGTAGCAACCCTTTCTACCTCAGCTCCAAGGCCATCCTTTGAAGTCTGCCCTTCTCCACCCAAATTAGTTTTTCCCGGGCGTTCATCTCGCAATTCTCTTTCTTGTTCATTTCGCAGTTCTCTCTCTTGTGCCCATAGCGACCACACAAGAAACAGATTTCAGGTAATCCTTCATATTCAATGTTATACCAAGTTTGGTTGATTTGGATAAAAGCTTCCAGAGGTTTGGTCAAATCTAATTCAACGCAAAGACGAGCAAATTTTCCCCTGTTTTGGGAGGTAGTAAGAGCATCAATTTTTAACAGCCTTCCCAACAGATTGCCAATACGCTTCAAGGCCCATACATCAAAGCACTCAAGCTGTATTGCAGATACACGAACCCAAGCCGCCATTCTTGTAGTTTGGGCAGTTGCCGGACAAAACCCTGGTCTCCAATGTTGCATAACTAAATACTGTCCTGCAATGATCCACAGCCCCCCAGTTAAAACAAAGTTGAGATCCTCCTCAAGATCGAATTTGACCACAAAGTAATCGTGCATTAAATCCACCAGTTTCCATCCCCCTTTCAAGCCCCATTTTTGCTGAAGCCGAGCATGGAGGTAGTTGTAAGTGTGGGAGCGACCAAGGAGTTTGATGATTAGGGCGTTCTCCCAGGGCTTGCATAACCGAGACATAGCGCGTTCAGAGAATTGGATACAAGGACCACGATCACCTCGCGAGATAGTCACATCCTCTTCATCGTTCAATTCCTTATAATTATCCTCAAGGCAGTTAATAGCAATACCAACATTCCTAAGAGTATCTGCTTTGTTTAAGAGCTTATCTCGAAAACTTACAGTGCCAGCGGACACTGCAGGCACCTGGGTCGGTTCAACTTCCATCACTGGATTCGGAAGGGTAGGCGTGGGCCGTTCCGGCTCAGCATCGCAATCAACCGTAGTTCGGTTGCGTTTGGTCATTCGATAGTTCTGTAGAAATACCCCAGGAGACTTGCCCTCCATGGGATGTGTAGCTGGGAAGATTTGAAAACAGATCTGAACGCCACCGCAGGGGCGGGGTCCTGGAAGGGAGGTGCGAGAGAGCCAAAGTTCAGAGGTGAGAAAACCCGCGCGTAGAGCAAAACTGAAAAAGCTGAAGCCTGCAAGAAAGGAGCTATAGATATTTTAAATTCCAAATGATGATGCAGTTTTCCTTTTTGTTCATATTTGGTTTCACACTAACCTCCTTTTGTTTCTTGCTAGTAAGATAAATATGAACCAAAGTTGCATGTCAATTGTGATTATTTTACGGATGAATTAGGGCGTTGATACGATACACCATGTTTCATGAAGATGCATCTACAAATTATTACAAATACACTAGAATAATTATCTACTAATCATTTGGTTTAATGGCACTTAATTTTCACTTTGTCCAATAGTGGAACCAAAAATATGAGCTTTAATAACAAAGGGTATGTTGAGGGGGTCAATTTGAACGTCTAATAATAGCTAGGCAACCTTCATTACAATTTCTCTGAAAGGGGACTAGGCTGGAAATTTGGGTTGGCCTGTTGGGCTGGAGGCTTTACGCTAAGATGGGATTAACACAGGAAAATACACAAAGGAAAAGTTTTAATGAACACCTTGGACATGACTAGAGTCCGTTCCACTCTTCAAGTAGTTCCGCAAATGAATTCAAATTTCATACTGGAATAGAAGTAAATTAGGGAAGACTTTCGGCGACCATAGTGGAGAAGTAAGGATTGCTTACGCCATATATGGAAATTGGGAGTACTTCACCTAGCTGCGACTTTGTCCCTGTAGTAAGTAAAAAGTAGGAATAGATAGTTCTTCCATGTTTTGCTCTCAGTCCCATGCTGAATCATTTTTACTTGCCAAGCTTGTATAGAAATATAAGTAAAATCATGTAATTGCAATCTATTAAAATTATAAGTAAAATTCGAAGTGAATTAAAATTATAAGTAAAATTCGAAGTGAATTAAAATTATCATTAAAATCATGTAATTACAATCTATTAAAATCTCAATTGAATACACCCCCTTTAATTACCAAAAAAATAACTGTCTGGGGAAGCTGGAAAATATGAAGAAAAAAAATGTTTGGTCTGTTTGTGTCTGTTTTTCATTTTGGGGAATGGTTAGAGATTGTTTTAGTTGGTTTTGGAATCTCTGAATTTTGAATTGTGAGAATTTTTAGATTTTTTATTATTTATTTACAGGTTTGAATATGTACATATCTATGACATATAATTTGGTTGTGTATAATTTTGATTGGAAATGGTTTATGCTAGTGCTTGGGACTTCAATCGAATGCAATAATATCAATACTCTTGACTTATTTTAAATAGCATGCACAGGGTTTTGAGCAATTTTCTTTTATCATTTCATGTCACTGTTCTTTGTGATTAATTGAATAATACCTCTTTCATCTATTCATCTATACCGAGCAAACCTTGAATGACTCCTCTAACGTTGACATTTGCACAAATGCAGGAAAATTTACCAAATAAATCAAGATGAACAGATAATGCATACCTCAGACAAGGCATTGACGACAGATAAACCCACACCATGTAATCCACCAGAGACATTATACCCACTACTTGAACCACCAAATTTGCCACCAGCATGTAAAACCTGAATAATTTTCATAAGAACTGTCATTTATAAAACAATAATATGTTCCTGCATTTAAAATAGCTCCCAAGTTGCATATATTTCATATTTTCTTCATTAAGAAAAACATATAAAACTTCAACTCATAAATTTCCAAAGGTCTTTCTATCACTAGAAATCCCAGAACTAGTTGAGTTTCTATCATTCATGGTTCAAACCTTCGAAGTGTCACTGAAACATATGCTTAATATTTGACTTATTTAGAGCAGGTTTGGGTTGTGAGGTTGCCAAACACTTTGTAAACATCCCAATTTGTTGATAGTGTATGTGCTTGCACATGCTGCTCTTGGAACATACCCAGTTATACTTGTTGTGAGGAACTTCGTTAAATCTTTTATTTTCTTGTTTTTACATTTATTTTCTGTTATTATCCTTGGGTTAGCAGCACCTGCTCTAGTAGAAATTTATCGATTTCGATATGTATTAAAGCAATTATTTTCTTAAGGCTTGGTGGCTTCTAGCACAACACATACAAGTATAAATGCATATTACAACCAACTTAGAAATTTGTTAAGGACAATACTAAACATTGCTTTATTTGCTTGCATACATATATGCCTTCATGTGCAGCTTCTTCTGTGCTCAAGTAGATGATGCGAAGGAGGGGATTAATTAAGGACTCAAGGAGGCACATCAAACTACATGTGTGTGAACATTAGAATATCTTATAAGAAATCATGACACTGTGTTCTTACTTTAATATATACAAAAAAGGATTTTTGAAGCTTTTGACTAAAAGGCATAGAAGACGTAGCATACCGCACGACCATTGTCAGCGATGCTCACAGAACCATCTGCAAGTAAAATAACCTCGATGTTTGAAGCAAATCCGGCTTGAGCCTCATCCACAGCATTATCTGATATTTCATAGACCTAAAAGAGCATGATTAGAAACTTCTTTATTGACTCAGATGAATCTAGCAAAAGCACATTATTAAAAATGGAAAGATAAAAGTGACGAAAAGCAATACCAAATGGTGAAGACCACGAGGTCCTGTGCTCCGAATATATATCCCTGGCCTCTTTATAACAGGGTCTAAGCCTTCCAATACCTGAACATGTTAGACATTATAGCATCAAGCCAAAGCTAAGAAGGAGTGACAGCTTACAAGTCCCACCCAACAATTTCTAACTAAACCCATCAATAAGCAACAATTTCCAACAAACATAAACACCTTAATAAACTTACTTATCTGAATCTGATAATACCCATATGCATTGGAGCCAGAGCTGCCCTGAAAAGCCTCGGTTGCAGGGTTAGACGACATAAAAGCTCTTGGAGCAACCGCATTTCGAACTACACAGCAGCTAGGAATGCCCTTCAGTGGAATATGGGTCCTGTCACAACCAATAACAAATCCCTTAAACACTTTCCTCTTTCCCAGGAAAAACCCGAGTGGCAAAATACAAAAACTAATATCTTATCACCAAAAATAACAAATGAACAAATAAAATCACTCAAATTCAAACAAAGAAAAAGTTATGTTGTAACAGGAATACTGATAGAGTCGCCTTAATTCCCTAGTTGCCGCATTTTCTAGGAAACCAAACAGAAAATAAGCAGAAATGAGGGGCAAAATATGAAAGGGAAAAGCACCTGGGTTGTGGGTTGAACAAGAGGGAGGGGCGAGCAAGAGAGGAAGACGAGAAAGAAGAAGAAGAGGAGGGGAAGTGAAGGTGAAGAGAAGAGTGTGAGAGAAAGCGTAAGGCCATGAACCGAAGATAAGGAGGAGGAGGAGGTCTCAGAAGAAGAAGCGCCATAGGATTTGGTTCTCTCTGTTTTACTTTCTTTGTCTTTTAGACCTTCGTCTTTTAAAAATAAAAAATAAGAAGAAACACATACACTTTAGTTATTAGGTGTCACGTCTTTTGATTTTTGCGCAGTGAGTGTTATTGAGTGTATTTGGCGATTTAGGTTGTGAGGTTCCCATAACTTTGTATGACATATTCAAATGATTCAAAAATGTTAAATTAACCATGCTCTGTGGAATTGAACCTGAAAGTTTGTTCATTGATAGATCAAGAGTTTCTATCGACTCCAAGTTTCCGATATTTGCTGGGATATTTCCTGTCAAATGATTCATGGACAAATTTAAAGTGCCCAACTTTATAAGGCTTGTTAACCCCATAGGTATCTCTCCTGACAATTTATTGTCCGAGAGATCAATGCTAGTAACAAGGTTAAGGATGTAGAGATGATCATATACAAACACTTTTCCTTTAGACACAAACTCAAATCTTCCCAAGCGACCAAGGTTACCTTCGTCAGTGGACTCAGATTTCAAGTCACTCAAATTACCTATGCAGTGGGGAATATTTCCGGAAAGATTGTTGTGTGAGAAGTCCAATATACGGAGAGCGGGAAGCCCACATAATTTTAAAGGGATGCTTCCCGTAAATGAGTTGGACCTCAAGCTTAGAATCTGTAAACTGGACATGCTTTCTCCGATGGAAGCCGGAATCGGTCCAGAAAACTTGTTATCACCAAGATCAAGAATATTCAGGTAAGTGCAGTTTTTCAAGGAAGGAACTTCCCCTGAAAAGTTGTTGCTAAAGAGGTCCAAGAACCGCAGTAAAGTAAGAGAGCCTAAGGATCTTGGGATTGTACCAGAGAGACTGTTGTTTGATAAGTCTATCCAACCCAATGATTGTATATTGTTCCAAAAAGGAGGAATCTCCCCAGACAAGAGGTTATTTGAGATCAATATGTATTGTAATTGGCTTAAATTACCCAAGAATAGGGGAATGCTTCCACTCAAAGAGTTCGTAGAAATGTCTAGATATATCAAATTGGGCATCACTTGACCAATGTTATGAGGAATTGGCCCTGAAAATAGATTATCTCTAAGATACAGGTCAGTAATGTTTGAGGACCAGAGTGGGAGTGGGCCCTCGTAAAGGTTTGAACTCAAATCAACAATGGAATAATGGCTGAATCTTAATGAATTGGGCACCCTGCCGCTTAGTTGATTATCAGCGAAATTTAGTTCATCTAATTGCAAATCCAACTGCAAAAACCAATTTGGTATGGTGCCTGAAATCCCAGCATTACGGAGTACCACCGTGGTCAACTCAGTCTGATTTCTAAGCCATGTAGGAAATTTGGGACCCAGTTGGTATGATATAATTTCCAAGTATCTTAATTTGAAAGGAGGTATCCAATCAGAACTTACGTTGAAAACCAAGGAAATGTTTGGGGGATAATTTCCAATTGATACTTCTTTCAGGCCTCTAAGTTTCACAAAATGAGCTTCAGTAATGGCACATTCCCATTTGTTGTGAGAGATATGAAGTGAAACCAGCGATGAGAGCTCCCAAAGACTCTTTGGGATTGAACCCTCAAGTGAGTTATACGACAAGTGGAGGTATCTCAAGCTTTTAAGATATCCCAAAGAATCAGGCAGTTTTCCTGTCAGACTGTTAACTGAGAAATCCAACTTCTCTAGTTTAGTGAGATTGAACAACCAATGAGGTATCGTGGAGGTGAATTCATTGCCAGAGAGATCAAGAACTGAAAGGGATGTGAAATTGATGGAAGGAAGAGTGAGAGGAAGCATGGGAAGACTACAATAGGGCAAATACAATTCAACTAGTGAAGGGAGCAAATTAACAGCGGGAAGCCAATAGGATGTAGTCTTAGTAAGGTTCACTCCTCCCAAGTTAAGGTACTTTAAGGAAGAAAGAGTTGCAAGCCACTGAAGGTCAGTCTCAAGATTTTCATGACTAAGATCAAGATAAAGCAACCTTGAGAGGTTTCCAAGATTGGGGGGAATGACTCCAACAAAAGATAAACCAGAGAGATCGAGGTATTTCAGTTTCTTTAGTGATCCAATGAAACTTGGAAAGACACCTCCAACGGAATTCATGCTCAAATTCAAGTAATCCAAATCTTTCAAAACAAGCAAAGAAGGGTTGATCTCACCACCAAATCCAAATGAATAGTCATTGCGATTGCGAAGATCGAGTTTGTTGACACGTCCAGTTATGTTGTTGCAGCCTACACCACTCCATTTGCAGCAATCTTCTCCCACCCAAGACGAAAGCCGGTCGAAAGGATCTGTGAGGCCTTGTTTGAGCTTGAGAAGGGCTTTTCTCTCTATATCTATGCATCTCACATTATGATCATCACTGCAGAAACCGAATTTAATGGTTTCAAGGGATAAAATTCCTGACAGTATAATTAGTGAGACAAGTTGGATGGAAGCACTAGCACTGCAGTGACCCATGATTCTTATGCAATGGGATGATTTGTAGGACTAGAGATATATAGGAGTAAATGAGAATTGAGATGGTTGAGCTTTTGTACGTGTCGTCGCAGACACGCTATTAAGAACGAAAAATTTCCATAAAGTCTTAGATAAGGATAAAATCCTGAAAATGACACTATTACGATCTTGACTTGTGGGTAGTTTAACCCCATTAGCACTTAAGCCAGATAATGACTTTGAAGTTTAAAGTAGCAATTTCAGTCATGGGATATTTAAGACCACAAATGTGGAGTACAAGTCAGACAAATAATATCCAAAGAAATACTTGCGTCGCATATTTTTCAAATAAACTATTTGACGCAGTCCTAGAAGAGTTATTTACAAAAACATCATCTGAGGTTTTTGATATTTTCACAAAACTCCTTAAAACATCCCCTGAGGTTTTAAATTGTTTTTACAAAACCCTGTTCCATTGATTTTTCATCCAAAAAGTGATGATTTTATACAAAAAAAAATATTCTCCAAATGACAAACTTGTCATTTGAGATTAGATTGCATATACTTCATTGAGGTTAATTTTGCATTTGCATACATTTTTTTATAATAAAATCATCAATTTTTGGACAAACAATCAACGAAAAGGGGTTTTGTGAAAACAAACTGAAACCTCAGGAGGTGTTCACATAATTTTTGAGACTTGAGAGAGTTTTGTGAAAACACAAGAAACCTTAGAAGATGTTAATGTAAATAACTCGACATAGATATGGAGCAAGAGATCCTACTATATTTCATTTTTTTAACCCTTAAATCTGACGAATTTCATATGAGCACATTATGAAAGATGAAAATTGTTTATAATTTACAAATCAAGCAGTAAGCATACGCCAATGGAGTTTATGCAATATTATAAGATCACAATGTACCACATGCACTAATCTCTACCACCCTTCTTCTCTCTTCTCTCTTCTCTCTTCTCTCTTTCTCTCTTTCTCTCTTTCTCTCCAACAACAACCCACCACCTTATCAACCTCCAACCCGAGCCAATTTCCCCAGACCAATACCTGGACAACCTGGATATGTCTACTCACAATATTAGTCCTAGATTGTTAAGTTGGGAACATTATTAATGTTGGACTAGATTAATAGTGGCCTTGATAGTCTGTTGCACACCAACTCATCTGACTAAATATTTGCTACTAGTAAATGAAATTATATAAAAGACTTCTAGATTTGTTTTTGGTGACGGTATTATTACTTTGACCTATGAGGAAGAGTATTTCATACTTAGGGTTGGATAGCAAATTGTTGAAAATTGGCAACAAATTGTGGAAGCAGGAGCAGCCATTCTTGACTTTGTTGGCTCAAATGTGTGTCGGTGGTTTCTTGGCTGCCACACTTGGTATAAAAGAATGTGGCTTTGGCATTATTTTATTCGGTAGAGGGCAGCAATCGTTGAAATAAGAAATAATGGTTCTTTGGTTGGCAGTGCAGCAACTCACGTGGGCAATTGTTAAAGGAAAGGAATGATGGCCTTTTGTCTGAAAAGAGGAAACAAAGCCATGTGAAGCAGCTGGAAAGGAGGAAAACGCGGGCTGCTGACGGATTGGAAATTAGTTGTTTCTCATTATGATCAGCACTGCAGAAACTAAGTTGAATTTGAATGGTTTTAAGGGATAAAATTCCTGACCGTGTAATTAGTAAGATAAGTTGGATGGAAGCATTGCTGTGACCCATGATTCTTATGCAATGAGATGATACAGAGATGCCCTGTATAGAGGAGTAAATGAGAATTAGATGGTTGTTCAAAATTATGTGCCCGTCGCGGACACACTAACAAGAACGAAAATTTTCCATAATCAGGTCCCCACCTACACAAATTGTGCGAACTTTAAACGACTTTTTTCCAAGTCTGATAAAGAAAAAAAAAAA